CACCACAGCACCACATTCTGATAGCCATGTAGGCCACGCTCAGTAGGCAGTGTGGCTGTTGTTCAATAGGCAATGTGGCTGTTAATGACTCTGCAATATTGGTCCAGTTTTTCCCTCCCCCATGCTCCTGAGGATTGAACTCAGGGGCACTCTACCATTGAGCTGTATCCCCAACCCTTTTTACTATTTTGAGTCAGGGTCTCATTAAACTACTGAGGCTGGCCTCAAACTTGTAGTCCTCCTGCCTTAGTCTCCCAAGTAGCTGGGATGTAAGCCACTTCGCCTGATTCAGGATTTAATCTTCCCATTTGTCTCAGCTTGAATTTTCAATATGGCATCTTATCTTCCACTGACTAGCCACTCAACAGGTTATCACTCTCAGCACCAGATGCTGGGATTTTTCAACTAGCAGTCCAAAAAGCCAAGTACAGTGGTGCACACCTGCAATCTCAGCAACTCAGGAAGCTGAGGCAAGAAGATCACAAGTAATAGGCAGCCTCAGAAATTTAGGGAGACCCTATGTCAAAGAAAAAAATAAAAAGTTTTGGGAATGAAGATCAGTGGCAAAGCATCCTTGGGTTAAATCAATCTCTAGTACAAAAAAGAAAAAGAAAAAAAAAAAAGATAAATACTAGGAATTTTCCCAAATATATCTATTATAATGGGATTATTATTTATGTATTTTGGATTTTGGTGCTGGGGATGGAACCCAGGGCATTGTGCATGCTAAGCACATCTCTACCACTGAGCAACAACCGGCTTTATTTTTTTACCCAGATAAAAATTATATAAAATACATTTTATTTAAAACCATATATTATATATTATATATACTATATTATATATATTTGTTATATAATTATGTATTTATATTATATATGCATATATTATATTCAAAATATAAAAATTTTATTAAATTTATATGTGAAATATAAATATTTATATTATATATACATATATTGTTTTTACTTGGTTAAAAAAATAATCCCAGGGTTGGGTTGTAGCTCAGTAGTAAAGCACTTTCCTAGTGGAATTGAGGCTCTAGGTTCAATCTGCAGCACAAGGTGGGAATCCCACTATGATTGATCATAAACCCCCTTGCTCTAGGGGCAGGGTAAGATGGAGCAGTGAACTGCCCCAGGATGGAGGAAAAGATTTGCCCTGGGCTGAGTGGGAGCTGGAGTGGGAGGAACTGCAGATCTCTAGGCAGTGCCTGATAGCCACAGAGTAGTGAGCAAACAACAGGTGGTAGTCCAGGAGAACAGCAGGCACCAGGATGGTTCACCTCAGGTAATGGAGGAAAGGAGGCTCTGTAGATGTGGAGAATACACAGGTGCAGAGAATCTGGAATGTGGCCAGGCCAGTGTTGTGTTGTAGGGAGGGCTGAGTTCAGAGGACAGGCAGAGAAAATTGAGTTCCAGGCAGGCTAGGAGGGCAGAGTTCAAATATAAAAGGGTGATGGGTCTGTTCTTAGAAAGGGACCAAGGTCAGGGCTCCCTAAATAACTAGCAAAGGCTGTCTTGGGCTTGGCACTGCAGCTCTGGGAATCTTTCTGCCTCAGAGTCTAGGAAAGGACTGGGTTCTGTGATAAGGGGTAAAGGGAAAGGAGGAATATAGAGATCACAGGCGGAGTAGGACCAAGTGATGGCTACTTTGCAGCAATATCCTCAGTAAATGGTCTTTCAGTCACAGTAAATAGCGCTTTGAAAGCAAAGGAAGATTAAAAAAGAGTAAGAGAGAAGGAACAAGTTGTTTAGAAGTAAAAATAGAGGTGCTTCAAAGTAAATATTCTGCCATTACAAAGAACACATTCAGGTTTTTAAGCTTTTTTGTTTCGAACACTGAATTATCCTTAGATATATTCATCGATATATATATATATATCCATCCATACACACACACACACACACACTCACAATCTGTTTTGGCTCAGTACCTCTAAACCACATATCATTAACAACTAAAATGATATAGTAGTGTTCTTGATGAAAAATAAAGCTGTTTCCTCTACTCTCTAGAGCAATTTTATGCATTTAATATTGGGTTTGAAACCAACCTAAAGTGTCACCTACCTAGGGCATCCCTTCACTAGTCCTAACTGGGCTCTAACATATCTCCAAACTCACAAAGACTTAGCATTGCCTTTTGCCTCATAAAATCTTTACAACAGGAAAATGACTTCGGATGGATTAACTTGGATTAATCTATTGAACTTGGATCCCTGAAGGCAGAAGTCCCATTTCACTGAAGATGATGTAATTCATAGCTTTCCTGGCAAACCCTCACTCTCCCTTTCCCACATAGCCATGCCACCTTCTAACACTGGAAGGGTCTTGGTGACAAGGTTCAGAAGCTCAGAGGAAATCCTATGCTTATCTCTCTCACTCAGTTAACAAATGTTGAGCACTTATGCTCAGGGCACTAAGCTCTAATGAGAGAGTTGAGAACAGGATGAGAAAGTCTCTGGTTTCCTGGAGTTTACATTCTAATGGGGCAGAGGCATTCAGACCATAATCAAACCAAATAAACAAGGAAATTCAGATAACAAAAAGTGGCATAAAGAAAATGAAATTGGCTGTGATGGGGTGTTAATTTAAGATAGGTGATTAGGGAAGGAGTCCTTGAGGAGAGGAGAACTGTATGAGAAGGGTCCTTTCCATTCCAAACTAATGGTTCCTGATTTGGGCAAAGATACCACTTTTGAGAACTGTATTAATTGCACAGAGCCATGGGAAAGACCCATTTCCAGTCTCTTCCATAAATCTAAAGGAACACTACCATATTACAGAATGTTACGTAGGAGCTTGAGTTGTTGCCTTTGACATTGGGGGCTAGACCATACGTGTCCAGATGTCTCCTTAGGTTTCCTGGTTGCTCTGTTCATTTAGTGGGCAGGCAAACCGGAGAAACAGGTTGGCATGCATACACATGCCAGGAACCAGAGAACACCATGCCTCAGTTCTCAGTGGGTAGGTTGCCTGTTGTGATATGCTAAGCCTTGACTCTAGGTGCGTCTTTTTTAAGGAAAGCAGGAGGATATCAAGTAACATTCCCAAGTATTTTAAAAGGAGATCCTTTTGTAGATAAGCATTGATAGCATGACTTAAAATTTGATGTCTCATTTTTACTTCCATTTCAATGGTATACAACACAAGCCAGGCAATACCAATTTGTATGTTTCAGAAACTTGATGCATTAAAGTTCCAACCTGAGATTCTTGGCTATTTTATAGACTGATTCCTGTGTCAAAAAATTGAATTAGGCTGCAGAGGGCATAATAACCCACTTGCCATGTTTTTTTCTGTCATGACACATTGCTCAGCATATGATCTTTGGCCAATCAGTCTGAATCGCTGAGAAAATAGTCCAATCTTTTCCTTAAAGTTAAAGCTGGATAATATGTAGAAAACTGGAGAAAAATGACAAATTTTAGTTGATGTCAAGAATCTTGTATCATATTCTTCCTGCACATCAAGATACAATAATGCATGGCTCTCAAACCTGAGACTGCTAAAGAGCTCAGAAAAAAAAGATCAGAGATGAAAAGAGAACTATAAAATAATTCATAATTATGGAGAGTATCTCAGGCAAGAAGGGTAAAGGTGGATAAAAGAGAAAAGTGAGAAATAACAAAACACACCCCCCATACACAAAACTTTAAACAAGAATATAAGGGAATTTCAACACTTACATCAGAATATAAGGAAATACCGTGGAATCCAAACATTTCTTTAGGCAAGATTGTAGGTAAATGTAATTAGCAGTGCCTGGCACATTCTTTTCCTTCCCTCTTCCTTTTTACTGTTTTGAAAGTGATTTTTAAAGAAAACTTAAGGTACCTTATCTATGTAAAGCAAACTAATTGAACATATTACTTTTGTTGAAAAACTTATGAAAGAGGCTATTAAAGTCACAATTGGTTAAAAAGGGGCCAACCTTTTCTTCACGTACAGGTCACTGAATACATTTAACAGAATTTTGCACAAAGAATCAGGGAAAATGGAAGAAAAGAGGCAGTGTAGTGACAATTATTTGCATTTTCCAAATGGAGGGAATGAGATGCTGGAGGGTATACGAGGTCACTCGAGTGAGGCAAAGGTAGAAATGAAGGCAATATTTATAGTGTGCTGACTTCAGTTCGGCTGGGCTCCCACCGCTCCTTATCTTATGCCTTTGGAATTCACCGGCTCACAGATCACAGCAACCCGAGCGGGCCGGGCCTCCGGGGCTGAAGGATCGACCAGGAAACGCTGCTTTCCCTGCTGCTCCCTCTAAGCCTGTGCACCTCCACCTCCCTAACTGAGCCTCTGCACGTTGGCCGAGAGCCCAGAGCAAGAACCGGGGAGCGGTGGGTGGGAGAATAATGAATGCAGTGTAACTACATTTTTCTTTTCTTTGTCGCAACGACTACTACCACGACCGGGCAATCCTCCCCCACCTTGGTGACTGGGTGCCTTCTAAGCGATTAGGCTCATTTCTCAAACCCGATGACTGAAGCTCAAAGGGAGTACGAGTCGGGAGTAGAGGGGGTCGGCGTGAAGGAACCCGCGGGGACAGTGGGTGATGGGAGCCCCGGCGGGGAGGCTCTCTGTAGTGGGCACCCCGAGTTGTCTGCTTGATGAGGCTTCCTCAGAGTGGCCCCGCCACGGCGGCTGCGCGGTTGGCTCTACTCGAGGGGCTGACGGGCCAGAGCGGAGGACTGGCCCCCCTCCCCACAGCAGCCCGGCGCCCCCTTGCCGGCGGCTGGCCCTCCTCCCCGGCAGCGGGGCGCCGAGCTCCGCGGGCCTTTCGGGTCCTTCCGCCACGAGCTCGGTTCATTTCGTGTCCGGGGCGGGGCGGGGCGGGGCCGGCTCCCGCGTTCGGGTGCGCGCGGCGCTGGCGGGCACCCTCCAAGTGCGCGCGCGCGCGGAGCCGACTCTCGTGGAGGCCCGCCCCTCCCCCAGGTCCCCGTACCCGCGCCGCCCCTCCCCCGCGTGCGAGTGTCGGCGGCGACGGCTGCCGAGATTGGAATCCGACTGCCGGGCTGGGCGAAGGAGGAGGGAGGAGGGAAGAGGGAGGAGGGCGGGCAGGAAGGCTCGGGCTCCGGCGCGTCGGTCCGCGCGAGACGAGGATCGCACGGCCGCGCGAGGGGCGACCGGGCCGGGGCCGCTGCACGCCGAGGGCGGAGGCCGAGCCGGGCCCCCGCCGCGCCCCGGCGGCTCGCTGCCCCCACACCCGCTCCGCTCCGAGGGCTGGAGGATGAGTTCCCCGGGGTCCGGGTGAGTTGGCTTGTCTGGAAGTGCGTGTGCGCGCCGGGAGAGGCCGGCTGCGGCGGGGAGGCCGGCGCGGGCGCGGGCTAAGTTTGGAGTGAGGGGCGGCCCGGCCGGGTTGTTGAGGCCGCGGCGCGCCCTGGGCCCCGCGGTCCCCTCCGCGGACCCCTGGCCCTGGGTCGTGTCGGGTTCTGCCGTCCGGGCCCTCTTTTGTTTCCCGTTCCACCCCTGGGTCACAGGCCGTGTTTGGGAAGGCGATGTGGGCGAAAGCCGCTCCGAGGACGCTTCTGGAATCCTTAAATGGGAAAGGCGCCTAGCTCCCCGCCCCGGAGCTGCGTGATCGGGATTCGGGGTTCGTCTCGGTACGCTTCGGTGAGAAAGGAAAGAGAACAAAGTGTGGTAGTCGAGCCCGGAGGAGCTGCTAGCCCGCCCTCCAACTTGGAAGGTGCCGGTTTTCTCCGAGGTCGCTGCGTGTGGGTTCACCTGTTGTCCTGCGCGGCCTCAGCTGCCATGTCTGTTGTGATTCTGCCCTTCAATTTCGGAAAACTTTCTGCTGGATTGCTTGTAACCTTTTTACTCTTTCCAGACTCCCAGTGGAAAGGTTTGGCAAGGAAAAAAAAAATGAGATTGCGTCAGGGCAGAAAAATCATATCCGTGTGTTAGGGTCTTGTGTTTTGTACTCCTTCGTGCGCTCGGATGTTTTAATTTGGTTTAAGCACTGCAGGTTTTTCTTTTAAACAATTAGCAAACCGTTCTGAGTACATAGTAGGAACTTGGCACCCGTAATACGTCATTTATAAGACGTCATTTACTTTATATCCGTGGCTGTTGTAATTCTCATTTGAAGGAAACTGAGCCTCAAAGATATTAAATAATTTAGATGGATGAGCTGGGATTTGAACTCGGGAACGTCGTGTCAAGGCACAGGAGTTTTTCTTCTTTTAAACAAACCTTCAAATACTTTTAGGTATAAAATAGTGTTTTTCAGTTATTCGTACTTGAAACGCGCTGTTTTGTTGCTTGAGTTCAAAACAACTTCTTGATTGTATTTGCTTGTGAGAGGAGTTAAACTTCGAATTAAATTAGAAGGTCACAATGCTTATTTTCAGTTGTTGAAATAGATCGTGAACCAGAATTATTTCGCTTTTAAAATTTAAAGTAATAGGTGATTCTTTGATCTAGGAATGAGCTGTTTACGAAAGGCCGATTAAAATTTGGAATGTATTTTTAATAGAACCAGTACTCTGTTATTTTTTTTTCCTCTTCACATTCTCCAAGGAGCCCATTTCAAACCTTTTTAGTTTTCTGCACTTCTCCCCACCCGTTACTAAAAAGATTGAGATGTCTAGTGGGAGGTCCTCCTCTGGATTCCTTCTCATCAGCTTCTTTCCTTGGAGATTGTTTTGGTTCTTCTTGCAAGTTAACACCTGGTTTCATCTTTCCCTGATTTTCCTACTAAATGGAGCATGAGTTATCCTTTCTGTTGTCTTTGGTTTTTAAAAGTACAGATGTAATTAAGATTTCTTAAATTTACAAAACCCGTTGCTTAAGTTTTCTATTCCCTTAAGCTGTCTTGTTGCTGCTTTCCTTTTTAGTGCACATTAACATTTAAGTTTTTTTTTCTTATAAAAGTAATACGTGGCCATTAAAGAGAAGTTGCAAAAATAGAGCAAAATTGAAGTAAAATTAAAATTCAGTCATTCATAATCTCATCTGTAGAGATTGCCAAGAGTAGTCTACTTTTCCTCCTGGACATGGTGGCCATCTATCCATTTCTTAACCCTTTGTTGACTAGGAATTAATCAACACATTTAAGTACCTTTATTCAGTCCTCTCCTTGAAGTTCCTGTAAAATATATTTAACATCCATTTCACATTTTTTTTTTATTTGATAATGCTGATCCTGGGGATCAAACCCAGGGGATTGAAAGCACTTTGCCACTGAGTTACATTGCCTGCCCAACTTCTGCTTCTTTGAATGTTTCTCCTTGGCTTTCATTCTTCTGTACATTTCATTTCAGAAATACTTGCTGTATTCTAAAATATTGTACAAGGTAAAAGGGTGCAACTACAGATATGACCCCTGCTCTCATGGAGCTTAATATCTAGTGGGGGAGACATATGTTGACATGTTGAAGGATGTGTTCTATAATTAAGTAAAATTGTTGTTATAATTGAAGTGTAGAGTATTATAAAAGGTTAAAAAGAGGTTAAAATTAGGATCTGACCTGGTGCTGGGAGATTATAGGAACATCTCCCTAAAATGTTACCTCAGAACCTGGCGCAGTGTGAAGGAAGAGTAAGAATTAACTAGGTGTGAAAGGGGGCTTCTGCAGCTTTGTTCTTCCTTTTTCTGCCACCCTTTCTTCCTCCTTCCTTTTTTTTTTTGGGGGGGGGGAGAGGGGTACTGGGGATTAAACTCTGGAGCACTTCCACTGAGCTACATCCCCAACCCTTTAAAACTTTTTTTTTTTTTAACACAAATTTTTAACAGGATCTCACCAAGTTTCTGAAACTGGCCTCAAAGTCACCATTCCTCCTGTCTCAGCCTCCCTAATCACTGGGATTACAGGCATGCACTGCACTATAACCTAGTCACTTCCTCTTAATATATTCACTTCCTCTGATATACATGTTTTCCAAGTTTCACTCTTCAAGTCACTTTTATGTCTCCAGTCTCTCCATTATTATTCAGACCTTTTTGTCTGAATATTTCTCAAATCTTTGTTCTTAATTTCTCTTGTGCATGAGTCCTATTTTTTCATTTGCTTTATGCATAATGTGGCCTGGTTGTTTCTAGTTGAAACTTAACTCTTCCTTTTGGCTTCTTTGGTGTTCCTTATTTTTGTTGATGTCATACCAAATCCAAACCTTTTTCCCATTCTGTCACATATTGTTGAATCTGCCACCATCTTTTGATTCTGCTTTTATGATATTATAACTACTCTGTATTCCTGCTAACTGACAAAATTCTTAATTCATGTTGGTATTAGAGTTATAATAAAGTTACAAAATAAGTTGGGCAGTTTTCTTCTTCTTTTTTTTTTTTTGTCAGGAGTTTTGGACTGGGATTATCTGTTCTTTGAAAGTTTGGCAGATATCACCTATAGGACCATTCAGGCCTTTATCTCTTTTCCTGGAGAGGGTTTTGAGTACCATTTCAATTTATTTAGTAGCTATTGGTTTATGTAGGTTTTTAAAAATTTTTCATTATGTATACCTTTTATTTTCATTTATTTTTATGTGGTGCTGAGGAATGAACTCAGTGCCTCACCCGTGCTAGGCAGGTGCTCTACCACTGAGCTACAATCCTAGCCCTTATGTACATTTTTTTATTTCTTGTGTGAATTTAGTGTTTCATATTTTTTTTCCAGAAATTTATTAGTTGAGTTTTCAAATCTGAGGTTATTTGGTTTTGGTTTTTAGGTGTTGAAATTTCTACTACATGTGCTTTCCCCCTTTTCACACCCCCCTACCCCGTTTTAAACCAGGTTCTTATCCTGCTTGGATAATGATATGATTTTGTTTTTCTTTTTTGCTTCTTTTACCTGTTCTTTTTTCACTCTCCTCCTGGACTGTTGGTTATAGTGTTCCTTCTATGTGGATTGCATATATGGCCAGTTATCATATGTCCAAGTCCAACCCAGTTTTGAAGCACCATTTTGATTGCAACTCTTAAGTTTTAACAATTTTTTTCTTCTGGATGGAATCCCTCTTGGAGTACCACACAGTTTTTTATTTTTAATTTTTGGCATGCAGTTTTCTCTCCCTAGTATTTTCTTATTGCACTTGTCTTTTAAAGAAGTTTTAATTTTTTTGAAGCATGATTTATATACAATGATGTATATAAGTTAGGTGTGCACTTCTGTGAGACATTTAATCTTTTATGGTAGTTTTTATACAGTTACTAGTTCCACTACTAGATTGCAGGCTGGGTCTGTAATGGATTTTGTTGCATTTTAAAATGAATAAATTGGGAAAGGCCCCTATCTGTCCTAGCAGTGGCTATTGAACTGTACTGATTTGACTTATGGATCTTGGAAGCAGATGGGTTTCCTCCCATGCTAAATTTTGAAGTAGGAACCCTTTTCTTTCCTTTTACTTCTACCTCCTTTTACTACTTTTTGTTTTTAGAGTGCCTTTTCAGTGCCATGAGATCTATATTTAGCCCGTCAGTCCAATCTTTTTAACATTTATAAGATTAAATGTTGGGCTGGGGTTGTGGCTCAGTGGCAGAGCTTGCCTAGCACATGTGAGTGAGGCACTGGGTTTGGTCCTCAGCACCACATAAAAATAAATAAATAAAATAAAGGCATTGTGTCTATCTACAACTGACAGTTAAAGAAAAAAGATGTTATATTGCATTGAATTATGTCAACTGTATGCTTATAAGACACTTATAAGCCATTGGTTGTAAAGTGCACCCCAATGTCAGAGATGCTAAAATGTGTCCATCTTAGAATTGATGAATAAAGTTTCTTTCCTGTTCCTTTAGTGTAGGTGTTGGAAAGAAAGAATTTAAACTCATGTGGAAGTGATTTGTACCCCTGCTGTTACTATGAAAAGTTATTTTTAAATATGTTTGTTAAATGTCTTCAACAAGTGAGAAATTTCAGGCAGTACAGAGAAATATTTATTTTTGAATTAGGTCTTTCAGGAGACCTGTGTACTTCCATTTCACGTGTGTGTGTGTGTGTGTGTGTGTGTGTGTGTGTGTCTATGTGTGTGGTGGGCGGGTGGGTATGGAGGCGGATATTAGGGATAGAACCCAGAGCCTGTGCATGCTAGGCAAGCACTCTACCACTGAGCTAAATCATTAGCCCCTGATTTCTTTTGCTTGTTATCTGAACTACAAGTTCTCTAATTGCTACAGACTTTGTAAAGTGGGAATTGTGGGGGATTGTGATGACCAATTGGATGGATCATTTTTAAGACTATCCAGTATTTATATATCATCATTAACAATTATATATATATATATATATATATATATATATATATATATATAT